TTATCCACGTTGCGATGGCAGCAGGTTAAGCAGACATTTGTTTCCCGAGTAGCATTTTCCAGTTTCCCGTGGGAGGTTTCTGAGGTACTCGCAGGTCGGATGAGATTAATAATCTCTCTAGTGAGTTTTAGATCTACACCGAGGTCTCCCGTCAGCTGTGTGCCTGGAAAATCTCCACAGTGAAGGTGCCCATAAGACATTCTGATTAGATGCTCCAGCCACCTCAGCAGGCTGCCTTTGACACAAAGGAAAGGAGGCTCTCCTCTGAGCTCCTTCTGGATATCTGGAGATCCTGGTTTCTCAGGAGACAAGGATTGCACTCACTTATTTTACATAGCCCAGCCGTCCTATAGAGGAAACTAGTTGCTTCTGTGATAATTCAGAATTAACTACTACAGACATAAGTCCGAACACTCACTGGTAAATTAAAACCTCTCATTTAAGTTTATGGAACATGGTTAAAGGCCATACTTCTATTACTCGTTCCTCTATAATTTAATGTAAAGGTGATGGTAAAACGGCCTTGCTTGTGGCTCTTGTGTAATTGGCTTAGTGCACACTGGACATCAGGCAAAATTTAGAAAGCACACAAACACAAGTGAACCGCGAATTTCCCGGAGATCCACGTGCACTCTGTCAACAGACTCTCACGTGTTGTAATTCGTGTATTTTATTGGCCCCTGAGGAGTTGTCTTTTGAAAATGCCATTAGGATTAAGTGACAAATGCTTTAGAAAATCTTTATTAGGAATACTAATCTTGTCACAATGACGGATCACCACGAGCAATATCAGCATGCACGAAGTTGTCATTTTAAGTATGACGTGAGTTTACTAGTAAAATCATTATATTTTGATACTTGAAACTAAGCAAAATGATCTTTATAACCATCCAGTGAAGTAATGGCACTGTGGAAGATTGATTGTGTGTAATTTATGACATATAGATTGTTTCCATCTAACCACAAGCTCGGTGATGCAAAATCTCCACCCGGTAACCACAATAACATTACTTTGTGGGTTTTTTTTCTTGTTTTGTTTGCATGTCTGGAGACAGATTTTTGTCAATGCAATAGTGTTTGGTAGTGTGTAAAAAGTTAGCCTCCTACAAAAGCACAGACCTGTTTTTCCAGATGTTGTCCAGGGTTCTTGTGTGAAAAGGCCTCTGGTCTCAGGTGTGTACAATAATTCAGATCCAGATAAAGGTTTGAGTTTGACGATGGGTGTGGCTGGACACACGAATGCAGAGTAAAGGGAACCTGTATGTCCGTCCTGTGTTCTCTTTACTGTATTTGTAATTCTTTGATGTTTTCTGACTTGTGTATAAACCTGTAGTATTTTTAACGATGGGTACGATCTGAGAACTTGAGTCTCTGGTGCTTTTGTTGGTGGTTGTCAAGGCCGTCCACATTGTCTGCAGTTTATCGGCGTTCGGGCACTTATCTGCCCCTCCCACCCGCCCTGTTATTGTGTGCTCTGGTTTAATGACCGTTTGTCTGTTAGGCTGTGGGTATGTTTCCAAAACAGATTAAAAATGAGATTTTATGGGCCATGTGGTGGTTAGAGTTTGGTGTAAATGGAGGATTTTTAAAAGAAATTCATAAGATTAGCTTGAAATTCAAACTCTGTGAGGTGAGTACTTTTAGAACAGCTGACAGCTTTCTCCACCTCATTTGGACATAACAAGAAAATCGAAACTTCAGAAGTTTGTGATGGTGGGTTTGCACTGTTTATTTACTTTTTTTTTTAAACCTGTGAATTGCTCGGGTAACTAAAATAAATAACTGGCAAATTAAGAAATATTTAAGTAAGAAAACTATTGGCAAATAAGGATGTAGTTAAAACCACAGATGTTTGATGTTGAGTTTCTAACATCCACTGTATAAAAACATTGGATTTAATATGAAAGGCACTGATGATGTTCCATATGTGCACACAGTTTCAACCACCTGACAGCACGAGCAGCTCCTGGGATCAC